TTTGGGCAGGTCACATAGTGCTTTAAATATCCCAACGTTGATAAATGCAAGTGTTAGAAATGAGTGTTATATACTAGAAGCGTTTTTTTTATTTCTCCATTTTTTTCTTTTTTTTTTCCCATTTTTGTTGATTTTTTTTAAAAAATACACAAAGTCTCAGCATTTAAAATGAAGGTTTGGATCCGCCTCGAGAGCCGAAGAAGGAGAAGAAAATCAAGATTTTTTTTTTGTTGTTGTCGTTGTTTCTGTTTTATTGAGGTCAAGTGTCTGGCAGTATATGTACAGCCCTGCTCACGCATCCTGATTCATCCAGGAGGAGATGTCCATGTCTCCAATGGCAGCAGAGGTCCGCGGTTTGCCACTTGCAGTGCTTTGGCAGGGAAGGAGCAGAAAAAGCACCTTTTTGTGGAAACCATGAGTCCATGCACACGCTACAGTTTTATTTTGTTTTTTGCTGTTGTTCCTCAAAACACTGCTTTCGGAATCAAGTTCGGAATGTCAGACCAAACCACAGAAGAATACGCTTCCAGTAGTAACAGCTTGTGTAAACGTAGAACACGTTCCTATTGTCCAGTGATCTGTCCAGATGGAATATTCCCCGTCATTCTCTGATACTGGCCCTTGCTCTGGCCATCCAGATGACATGTTCTCAGTCTTTCTGGTAGAATATTCTACATTTATTTAAATATTTGATTAATACTTGAGGTGGGTGAGTTGATCTACTTTATGTCCTTTTTCATCAAGAGTCTGTTGCTTCCCGTAAGCAAAAGCGATACGATCTGTCCGTTTTTTTTTTCCCAAAAACATCAATACGACAAATTAAAAACAAAAAAAGAGGCAAATAAAAATATAAAAACAATATTAAGGAATGTAAATCAAAGATGCATTATAAAAGACTTCCACAGGTCTCTCGTTCAATCTACCACTGCACGTTTTTTTGTTTTAGTATAAAACATACTCTTTATAAACATACAATACACAATCTGCTTATGTCTACTGTACAATGAACTTTATATGTGACTAAATAGATTGTGCCCAAGATAAACTATAAGCGCTACACAAATGTTTGATATTCACTATTAACTTTTTCCGTTGTTTTTTTTTCTATAGGTCTATGAATGCATATTAACTGGAGTTCAAGATACAAGAGCTTTCTGTCAACCTGATACTAAAATGCTGGAAAACCCTACAGCAATGTACTTGCACAGAGTAGGTGAGACAGTGTACTTCAGATCAGATTGTTTCTGAGTCCCAATAGTATTCTTGGAGTTGGTTTACTGATTTAAAAAAAAAAACTTCTGAATATCAGAGCAAAATTACTTTTTAATGGAACTGTTATGATCAGAAAAGGGATCTAAAAAGGATTTAAATTACTTATGTAATGTCCACAATACAAAGGCCATTTTAGGAATAAAACAGAATTTGAAAGCACAATTGCTTCGGCACTTGTGTAGATGTTACCTTTTCTCTGTCTACTTTTAAACACCAGGTGAGGTTCAAAGGAAAAGATTCCTAATCAGCTTGTTGTTCAGCACTTTAGAACTAACATACTGCAATGCAGCCTTATCTTTGGAGAAATCCTAGCCAATGAAAATATGATCATAACACACAGAGTATTCTGAGGATTTTAGTTGGCTAGGACCCCTCTCTCTGGACAGTGTCATTAAATTGGTCAAAACTTGAATCGGTTATGCTAGCAGTGTCATGGAATGTTTACTTTACAGAAAGGTCTTTCAGTTGGTAAAGGTTAATATCACATGAAGTATCATATTCTGGAATGTAAGACATGTTAGGAAGGAACTGGATGCAAACCCGTTTTAGGAACTATCTGATGAAAACCTTTGGTGGGTTTGTCATGATCCTGATGTCCCACTGAGTGCATACAGATGTGCATACACAGGGGAACAAGCAGTGAGGGGTACACCATAACACCCCAGCAGCAGGCTAAAGGACTTTCACTTTGTCCTTCTTGAATTCAAATTTCTTCTGTTTTATAACTTCCGTTTCCTCCAACAGCCTTTTCTTGAAAAATGCCCTTGTCCCAGTTCCCCATGCCTAAGGGAGAGAGTTATTTTTCTGCGGAGGGCAACCAGCCACCACACTGTTTTAAAATTCCCCAATGAGCTGGAGAGCTAGACATCCCACAGAGTGGCCAAGCCCTTTCGGAATGTCAAATTACAGATTACGATGGGAAGGTCAGATCATTGCTTTGTATCAAAGAGCTCAGAGAGCAGGCAGAGAGACACCATCCTAAAATGTCCTCGGCTTCTGCTATTAGCCACACACGTCTTCTCTCCCTCAGTCATCTGTTAGCATTTACAACAAGGTCGTATAAAGAAAAAAAAAATCTACAAATTAAAAAAAACATAATTACAATAATTATAATAATAACAACAATAATAATAACAATAATAATAACAATTAGAATTATAATGGCAATTACTAACAAACTACTATAAACAGCAAGGTCAAAATCTGGGGTGAGAAACAGCTTCAGACGTTGTCTTGTGTGCTAACTTTCCCCGCCAATGGGCAGTGCTTTTGATTTTTTCCGAGACAACAGACGGTCCTTTTCCTTGGATCGTCTGAAGTCGTGAATGGGTCTCTTTGTTGGTGATTAGAAGGGGTTAGGGGGTGTGAGGGGAGGGGGCGGGGTGGTGGGTGTGGGGGTGTTTGATTTTGGAACTGCTGTTTTTTTAAGAATCTTCTCACCCTAACCAGCTACAGAATAGCTTCAGTTCTGTCCCACAAGTGACTTCAAGCGCGTTTACTCGCGCGTGGAAAACACCCCGAGCACACGCGCAGGCCGGACTCCACCGGCCGCCGCCGGACTGGAGCGCAGACATCGGGGGATGAGGAAGTGAGGGTGGAGGTGGAAAGGGTGAGGGGGTGGGGGGGAGGAGGGGGGAGTGAGAGTGGAAGGGAGAAAGGGGACCGGGGGAGACCGGGTTCAGTAGGCCTGTCCCGTCTCCACCTGAAGAAGTCCCAGGACCGCCGAATGCTCCCCCAGCTTCATCCTCCTCTGCGTGGACAAGCTCACGTTCTTGGCCAGGTAGTCGACTGCAGCTGCGGGTCAAAACACATGCGGGACATGTCAGCAACTCGGGCCCTGAGCCGGGTTCGTGCGGATCAGTACAATGAGTCAGCAGGAGGACGAGGTGCTGAGACACATGGACACAACCCAGTACTGCGTGGAGGAGTCAGGTCAATAGGCTGTAAAGCACCTCTAGGTGTTGCTGGTAAAACGACAAGGTTTATTTTTTTTATGGGCCACTTTATTTTATGGCCAATAAAAAGGATTCAGGTGACTGGATCTTCAATTCATGGGCATAAACGTGCTTATTGCTACGTCACGTCTGCAGTCAGTCTCGGTCTCCTGCAGGCTGCTGCCGCTGCGGCTAACAGTGACCCCAACGGTGACCACAGCAGTGGAAAAAAAATAATATTGTTCAAGCAGAGACGCGCGCTGAATCTTGTGAATGAACGTGCTACTCCTCCGAACAGGCTCTTCCTGTCTGCGGGTCTCCCTGAGGGACTGTGCTGTGCCACGGGCCCCAGCTCCAGCCCCACTCTTCCTGTCAATGCGGTGTCACTCCACCGGTTCCCCCCGGGCCTTCCTTCTCCTCAGTGCTGCTCATTAGACTTGTCAGTTCTATTTGCATTGCTTTTCACGCTTCCTTTCTGCTATCATCTCCATCATTAGGCGGCAGGGAGCTCTGAGAGTTGCAGGGCCTCCTCGTTTAGCCTCCGCGGTTTCGGAGGGCCCTCGCGGAGCGGGGACTCGCTTTCAAAGGTGCACACAGACACCTGTACCCAGGCGTGTGCGCCCGGACAGATGGTCCAAACACGGGTGCACGCGTGCATGCATAGACACAGGCAGTGGTGCATGCAAGGGAAACAACAATAGCAATTACACAACTGTCATAAGTGCTTTCATTTATGCAAACCTCATCTGTATATATGACTGATAATGTGTGTTTCAGTGTTACTTTGTGTGGCTGGGGCTCTAGTACAGTATCTACATTGTGCTGGTTACTGCATACCCAATGTGTTCAAGATGTTACATTTTTTGGTAAAAAATCAGAACATCTTTGTTTGATGTACTGTATGTGAACTAACGACCATTCCCCATTGAACAAATGTACTTTTTATTTTGCTTAAATCATATGATTTTTAAAAGTGTGCTTTCAAGCAAAAACCAACGGCCGAGATGCTGATTTTGTTTTTCTTGGGAATTTATAGTATACATTTTTTATTTAAAAATTCATCTTAAAACAAAATTTCAAGTGGGTTCAGACACTTGTACCATTAACACTTGTACCATCATTTGAACAGACAAACAGTTTTTATTGTGAGAATAAACAGTCAAAAACTATACTTAAAAGCTTTTTCCCTGACCAAACCCATAAAACTGTAGAATTACTCAACTCTCCACACAGCGTGCAGGACTCTCCTTGGTGGACACTGCCCAGCAGTCAGATATACAGTACACCCTGCTCTTTACAGCATGGCCGGGCTCTGCTCTTGCTGGACCAGGGACCTGGCAGCCACGGAGCCTTGAGGCTGGCCCTGAGCAGAGGCAGGGGCTGGGAGAGGGTGGCCGGCTGGCCTTTGAAGCCCCTGCTCCACACACCGCAGTGTGACTAACTCAGCACCTGAGGGCTGCGCCCGTGATTGGAAATATCTGGTATCGGCATGCTGCAGGAGATCTTTATCAAGAGCACGTGTCCGCTCCCAGCCCCCCCCCCCCCCCCCGGGCAAGGGCAGGGGTCAGGGGGCGCCCAGTCTTTCCCTGGGAGCTGAGGAGGCAGGTATCGATCAGCCAGGCGCCTCACAAGGTTTCAATTTAATGGCGCAAGTTAAAGACATTAGAGGGGCTGACTGTGGAAGAGCCGCAGCGAATGGGTTAGGGGGTCATGGGGACAAACCAAGGGCAAGCTGGAATGGGAAAGGTATTGGGAAACACCCTATAACCCCCTGTGCCCCTGCCCTCTCCCCTCCTGGCCTATACTGTATAGCTCTCTGACTCATAGCCATAACGTTATACGATATTATTAAGATAGGATTTGACTTCACTTGGCTTTTAACCTTCCAGTATAATTCCGAGCACAAATAAAACGATCTTGGAAAGCTGCGTTGGAGACGAGGAGCTGGAACAGAATGGAATGGCTAATCCTCAGGCTCCTGGAGCAGTCTCACTGCGTAACGCTATCCCTTTTCAACCACAAGCAGGCAGCGGGGAACCAAACAGTGAGGAGGAGGAGGAGGAGGAGTGGCGGGAGAAACCGTACTGTACGTATAGCCCAGCCCTGAGTGACAAGAGGTGCGCTGAAGTCGGAGAACGAGAGTCTGAACTGATTAGAGAGGAACTAACTCTGCAGGAGGACATAAATCATAACTTAAAAAAGAAAAAGAAAAACGATTGTACTGCATGTATAGGACTGCCGTGCTGCGGTTCTCAGCATAAGCTTGTTAAACTATAACCTTTGTCAATGTGTTCAGTCTTTCCACCTTTAATATCCCTCCCTGGGGACAGTTATTCGAACCGCTGATGATTCTCTCTTCCTTTGTTGGAAATGGAGACAGTTGTGTTTCAGCAGCTGGGATCCCTTCAGAAGAATTACCTGAAGACCCTGCCAACGCGCTGTCAAGATGACATTAAATAGCAGCGTGTCAAAGCTGGGCTGGGCTCTTGTAAAGAAAAGAGACTTGTCAGGAGGCTCACAGAACGGTAGGAGCTGCATACCTGTGGGTGGGTGGGCAAGCTTTCTGCAGAGAAGCCCTTGAAAGTGACAGCTGGCGCGGTGTTATAATCGCAGTTTTAGCATGATCACAAGCCAGCGCTCTGAGAGACGATTTGCTTTTCACAGACGTTTACAGCTTAAATCCCAGGCAAGCCCAGTTCCATCACGAGACACTTTTAAAGAGTCTCCTACATTGTTTCACGGCAGAAGAATATCTGATCGCTCTGTTGTAAAATACTTGTTTTTCGTCTAATGATGTATTGCTATTATTAATAAATGTATTATTATTGCTAGTAATTCTCTTGCTAATAAAACTCATTTTTTGAAAATCCTGTATTTAATTAATCACATTAAAGTACAGTATCATATAACACCATGAAGAAGCATTCATTCTGCAGCCATGTGCAGAGCTGTGAGTTTGTCCTCTCTTTGCACACTGTCTGCCTGTTACATTGAGCAGCACTGTGTAAGTGCAGTGTGGGCGTCAGGCTTTATATAACAGCATGTCCACTCCTCCTGTTAAATGTATATGGTTTGAAGCAGAGGAGGCAATCGTGTCTATGTTTAAGAAATGGGGCAAGAGGCAGGTTGCCTGGGACTCACTCTGGCCATACTGGCTATACTGGTAGCCAGCAGTAACGGGGTCCACGCTGTAGCTGGTGGTGCTGTACGTCGGTGGGCAGTAGGACTGAGAGGAGGGCAGGCTGTCCACACTCTTAATGGGGTCAGAGCGCTGGCTGCAGCTGGCTGAGATGGGGTTCGAGGACTCCAGGCTGCTGTGCAGGGGGGAGATGGAGAAGTCGTGCTGGGGCTGGGGTGGAACTGCGCTGGGATTACTCAGAATGCTCATCACCTGGGAGAGAGAAAGAGGGAGAAGCACAGAGAGTCAAGAGTGCAGCTAACACAAAAATGTG